TTTTATTTTATTCATTGTTTCCCTTGACTTCAAATGTGGAACGCTTTACATTTTTTGTCCCAGGCGTGTGTACTGGTAACTCATGTACCTGCATTTGCTCTGCTTTTTCTTTTGTGTGCTTGGCTGTGCTGACTTGTTGCTGTTCGTGTTGTTCTGACAAAATCAATAAAAAAAAATAAAATAAAATAAAAAAAAAAGTCTAACTTGTAATTTGAAAATAATTTCATGTTTCTATGGTGAACGTAATTAAATCATGTAGGATCTTTATGCAATTCAACAACTTAATTTGTTCTTGTTGAGATGACGTGATGCAATCTAGTGAGAGTGGTTAGTTGCTGGACTCAAGAAATTCACAAGATCGCACGAGATTTCAAACTGCAGGAAAATCCCTGGAGTTTTAAAAGGCAACTACACACACACACCATGTATGCTCGACACTATTTATTGTGGTTTAACCTGTCAAGGACAAAAACGTACGGAAGAATTCTGCATCAAGCCTTGAAATCATAGCCTTTCCTACTTTTGTTGAGCCTAGATTGACAGCTTGGTGGCGTGGTGGTTAGCGCTGTTGCCTCATAGCAAGAACATGGGTTCAAATCCACAATCTGGCCAGTTTGCAGTGGGTTCTGTCTGAGGACTCTGGCTTCCTCCCACAGTTAAAAGTCATGCAGTTATTAGAGCTAGGTTAATTGGTGATTCCAAATTACCCTAAAGTGTGAATGTAAGTGGTTGTTTGTCTCTATGTGATAGACTGGAGAGCTATCCAGGTCGCACTCTGCCTCTTAACCTGTCACTTCTGGGCTATACCCCTGCAACCCGGATAAAGCTAGGAGGATGGTAGTGGCTGTAAATCCATTCAGCTTTTATGTTAACCAGACTCTACACTTTGTTGAACATTATGTAATATGAAGACAAATGTAATTATTTAAGTGCCCAAGTAGTACTGGGGTAAAAGTTAATGAATAGCGTTGGAGTAAAATGACAAAATTGTGAAGGATTAAAATATTTCAAGAGCTCAACTTACTTCATTTAAACATGTTTCAATCACGTTTTATCAACACAACATGCACAGGCTTACTGAATATGAATAAGTACAGACGTACCTTAACTAAATCTGCATTGGCTTTAATGATCACCACAGGGTGATACTAATAGTTTGTTTTGGAAAAGACATTCCTGATTAGTTTATGGCAGAGGCGGGCAATTGAGTTTTCCAATGAGCCTGAAATCAGGTCAACAAGAAACTTCATGAGGCCTTCACAGCAGACCCAGTTTGTCATATCACCTGGTTACACATCAGATCATCACTGATTTCATGAAATAAAAGAAGTTCTTTCTATAAATTTTGTTCATTTAAAGTGTCAGAAAGGATTTTCTCTTTCAGGATATGACCACTGGCTAATGACTTGTGTTTGTCAAGTCACCGGTTACTGAGCATGAAGTTTAACAGTCAAATGACCCCTCGCCATCACATCTATTTTCAGAACAAGCTGGCAATGGCAAAAGCCAACTAGCATAGTTTCTATTTAGCATAGTTTCTATTTAGCATAGTTTCTATTTAGCATTGTTTCTATTTAGCATAGTTCGCCCTGTTTTGTTTCCCTGATTAGTTCCAGCTGTGCTCCATGGTGTCTCCCCCTCCCTAATTATTTTATATGTGTTTACATCCTTTGTCTCCCTCAGTCCCGTTTACGTTTTCATCACACTGTGTTCTTTAATCTGTAGTGTACTTATGATACTGTTAGCATTCCTCTTTCTTACTGTTCCCCAGATCCTCCAAGTGTTTCCCTGGCATTTCCAAAGTTTCTCATGGAGTTTGGCATTTTTACTGCTTCCTGTTTAGTTGCTATTATGCCTCCAATAAAGGGCCGTTCTCGTTTTATCCCTGCCTGCTCTGATCCTGCGTTCTAGGTCCTCTTTCACCAGCAAAACTGACACAAATACTGTATGGCTGCTGTGTTTTACAAAGCTTTTACTTTTCAGTCTTTGAGGAGGATGCACCTTTATACTTCATCTGTGGTGCAACTCCAGGTATCCAAAAGTTAGTACTAGCACAAAACAGCTATACCAATTTATGTTGCCATGTCAACAGACATTTTAATATTTTATCCTTGTTCATCAGAGCATGAAACAAACTGGCGGCTGTTATCGTTCATATACAACAATTTGGCAGAAGATTTACTTTTAAATAAAAAAATCACACCGTAATCCTTTTCCTGGTTTCATGTCCGTCTTGTTAACAATGTAATACAACTGCAAATCTTAAGAGTACTGTGATTACAACCATAGTTACAAGTTTCATCATAAAGATTTTGTATTTTTATATTTTATGTTAAGAAAATCTTAAGAAGATTAAAATTACGGGGCCATCTGGCAAACCTGAAGCCACGAGACCAAACAGAGAAAACGTTGCTGTAACGTTGGGATGATCTCTCACAGCGGAGAGTTGCTTTGAAGGAGCAAATGAAATGAAAAAAGGTTTAAGATAAACCAGAGTGTGAGTGATTTTTACCCTGAGGAGGAGCTGCAGGACTATGCTGAGACTGTGGGCGAGTGGGTGGCTTGAGTCCTGGTGGGAGGGGAATCCCACTGGAAATTCTCTGTGGAAGGAAGCAGAACAGGAGAATAAATAATGAAGAGTTTTCTTTCCACAATGAAAACAGATTTGTCACAGAGCAGAAGCTTGTGTTTTTTGTTGAAATTGCCTTTAATCCATTTCATGTCACCAGACACAACAGTTGTGCTGTCTCATCTCGGTGGGTGAAGCAGAGAAGAACTTAGCAAGAATGTCATTTTGATCAATCTGTAAAGTGCCTCCATTAAAGCTCTTAAATGAGTGGCATGAACATGAATACTGTGTGTTGTGTTATTCAAAGAGAAGTATATTACAGTGTCCTTTTTGCCTTTGGACGTCTTGACATCTGCTGGTTCAAGAAGGGATGCTGGCAGAAGTCCTCTCTGCAAAAAACGACTAAAAATTAGATTTGTAGCAATGAAAATAAAGCTTGTATACAGAAATTCTCAGTATTGTGACAGCAAAAGAATACATGCTCAAGAACCTGAGCAGGAATGAATACATATTAAGATTTATATAAAATATAAATAATAATAATAACTTTATTTATAAAGCGCTTTCAAACAAAGTGCTGTACAACTATCTGAAACTAAAGCGATAAATAAAATAAAAGCGATACATAGCAATACAAGTTAAACACAGTAAAAATGTAAAAACTCAAAGCCATAGAATTAAGACATGTAAGACTTTTAAAGACCTGCACAGAGCACGCCTGCCTAAGGTCTTGAGGGAGGCTGTTGCACAGAGACGGGGCACAAAAAGAAAAAGCTCTCCAGTTGTCTTTTTTCTGGCTCTAGGAACCTTTAGAACAGGGGTCCCCAATCCCAGTCCACGAGGGCCGGTCTCCCTGCAGGTTTTAGATCTCACCCGGGGTCAACACACCGGAATCACATGATTAGTTCATTACCAGGCCTCTGGAGAACTTCAAGACATGCTGAGGAGGTCATTTATCCATTTAAATCAGCTGTGATGGATCAAGGACACATCTAAAACCTGCAGGACACCGGCCCTCGAGGCCTGGGATTGGGGACCCCTGCTTTAGAAGGCCAGAGTCAGTCTGTTTAAAGTGATAATCATATTTATGATCAAAATAATGTTAGAACATTGGGAGAGGAGTGATGCTGGCCTGTAGTCTTAAACTGTGGTATAACTTCACACTTTTCATTTCATTTGGAAAGGAACCAGTTCAAAGAGATAAGTTGCAAAAATATGTTAAGAGCTCTGAAATACCATCAACTACTTTTATCAGTACCATTGCAATCAGCACATAATTAATTTTTGCACATATTAACAAAGGTTTTGACTTCAAACTCATCCAGAGAGAAACTGAATACAGATTATTTTGAATTAAAGTTTCACTTTTATTGTCTCTTCCATGTTCTTGAATCTTTGCTGCTTAAATAAAAGTGATTAAATCCACTTACTATAATATTCATATTGTCAGATTCAAAACCCTCTTTCATTGTTTCAGGTTGCAGGTCACTCCTCACCTGTCCATCATATATGACAGTGGCCATCCCATCTCTGTTCTCCTCTCCAAATAAAAACACCGTCGCACCTCCAGGCACCGTCAGCTGTCCTGGTCCTCGTGCCATGTAAGGGACACGCACTTGCATGTATCGAGAATCCCTAACAGGTAACAGACAAATAAGCTGTAAATCTACAAGCACGGCTTTGCTGTAGCCTTGTAGTAGCATCGGCCACACACATGTTCTGTGTCATCACGTAACAAACTCACTGAGCTCCATCCACATTCGGCTCGTAGAAGCCAGGTTTCTGTGCAGAGGACAAAGACAGTTAGCATCTGCAGCAGCTCACAGTAACGTCACACATACGCTGTGGTCAGGCTCACCTGCTGCCTCAAAGGCTCAAAGCCTCCAAAATCATCATTGGGTATCATGGAGGAAATCACCTGCAAAGGGAGAGCATTACACATGAATGGATATAAAGTGCAGTTTAAATGACGTGTTTTAGTCATATTTCAACTGTCATACATTTAGTCAGGGCCGACGTTTATATTTACTTTAATGAGCTACACTTATCGGTTTGTTTGGGTTCAAATAACCTGATACATGTGCCAGGATTCATTTAAGCTTATTTTAAGGGCACATCTTAATCATTTCAATAATCAAATTGTCATAGTTCAGCATTTTGAGTTTGTGGACTTTTGAACCTTGTTGTCTTACAGTCATTTATGTCGTTGTGTTGTATGTCGCTCGATGCTGTCCTGGAGTTGGTGACTCAGTGTTGATGTTTCGATTAATATCATCTTTTGTTTCAGTTTAGTTCTTGTTATGTTTCTGGTGAATTTCTGCTTCTTAGGTTTTGATGCTTCCTCTGTCCTCTGTCTGACTGATTCGAGCTGCGTCTCCACCTGTTGCCCATCCTCTCGTTATCTCGTTAAAATTGAACTGAACTGTTAATTGCTGATTCTAAACGTGTCAGCCCTGCCTTCTCACTGTGTGACGGCAGGGATAAGAGGGTCAGAAGAAAACGAATGGATGGATAAACACGTGTACCACAAGCACTCTCTACGTACCGTTGCTTTTCCCAAGAAGTCTCTTTGCTGCAGCTGCTCCACATCCTGTTTCCTGGGACGAAACACCACACCCTCAGGTACCAGGAGAGGATCCAGGGCCTGCTTACTCTGTTTTTAAAGTTATAGTAAAGAGTCTCATGATCATAAACTGACTCCCGTGTTCATGCAGTGGTGCTGGTGTCAGTCACTGTGCAAATATCCCGTTTATAAGGCTGGAAACCTGCAGTCAGCTGATGATGACGAAACGTTTCTCCCCCTGAAAACTCTACGTCCAGATGGACACAATCAACTCTTGGGATTTACTTAGCGACAGTCTTACTGTAATATTACTTTGGAATAATAAAATCACCACTTGTACTTAAGCGCCTATATTTCATTTTTTAAGTCTAGGCTTTAGACGTCATTGTAAGTCTTGTTTGGTGAAATATTTGTTTTATTTAAACCAACAACAGGTGACTCCATCGGCACTTTCTGCAGTCATTTGTCATGTAAAATTCTCACTGCTGGTCCATTTGATTGGATAATAATAAATACCATGGTAACCATAAAACCTGAGGAAGGCTTTGTGACATGTTCGGTTTTCCAACAGGGTCTTTTTTTCAGCTAAACCAGGATCGTACCAAGTAGTCTTTAACCTTAAACCTAAAAACAAATGAACTCACCCTGATGCTCTCCAAAGCTGCCTCCATGCTCCCCCCTCGTCCTGGTCCTTTCTCCTGGGAGGCTGACTGCAGGACGTCCCTGGCCTGCTCCCACTGGCCCATCTGACAATACACAGCTGCTGCATTGTATAACACCTTGGAACATATCACAGTTACCCGTTTTAGTGCATTCAAACAATTTCTGGTGAATGACAGGTTGTTTCTCCAGAATAGATTTGGCATTTAAAATGAAATGAAAGTGCTTTATTTCAGATGTTCTCTGAGCGCTGAGCAGCAGCTGAGCTGGTAAACTGGATATGTATGATTCTTGTGGACGATTGTCTGGACAACCACCACAGCTGTTATGTAGTTTACGTTATGCTGACTGTATCTGATGATGAAATGTTTAAAACTCACAGTGGCACACACAGTTGCACTGTTGTTTGGAACCAGTAACAAAACCATCACGTGTGTCTTCTTCCATTAACGAGGCTTTGACAGCTCACAGGTGTGTGGCTGATATTTGAACTACACAAAGGTGGTGATGAGACAGCACGGGGCTGAATTTCCTTTTTATGGCGTTTTAATGTGCACTGAACCGAATCCTTGATGAAGGTGTGTCCTTGTGTCGAGGTGTGTGTAGGTGAGGCTGAATGTCAGACCTGCCAGCTGTACAGTTTAAATCTCAGTCCCAGCTGTTTGTAGTCGATCACTACGTTCTCTCGCATATGTTTCTGTGCCCAGATGTAGTCAGACAGAGCCTCTTCCAACCTGGAGAGAGAAAGAAATGCGGGCAGTATATTTAAAAACCTGAATAGCACACAATGTATAAATAATATAATCACATACAGTAGATACCACACCAGCGCCAAACTTTTCTGTCATAATTTGTCATGTTTTAGTAATACATGAACATCTTTCGTAGTTTCGTGTTTTCATATTACATCAGTGTGGCGGGGGCGTGGTCTGCGGTGCCGCTGTGTGAACTGGGTCCTGCTGTGGTGTTGTTGTTGTCAGTGTGTGAGGCTGAAGAGCAGGTCTGCCGCGGTTTGTTACAGTCTGTTTATTTGGTCTATTTTTACAGTTTTTCTTCTTCATTGTCTGTGTGGAGCATATGATGTAACGTTGGTGGTGATGCGAGGTGCTACACATCTAAGTGGTTTTTTTATTATTATTATTTTTATTATTATTATTATTATTATTTATATATATATAT